TGCGATCGGATCCTTGCGGTTGAGGTCCAGGGGTGCACACTGCGATCCGGAGCTGGCCAGACAAGATCGGAGAAGCAGATTGGCGATGAAGATTGGCGAGGAAGGAAGCAAGGAGGAAGGAGGAAGGAGGAGGACGAGGAGGCGGCAGAGGCGGAGGCAAAGGCGGAGGCGGAGGAAGAACAGCTGTGATAAAATCTAACAACCCTCACCTGGCAGGTGGGGAACAACATTCAATCAATGCTCAACGAACTGATGAAACAGTATTTCATAAATTGTGTTTTCTTTCGAACAATGTTCAAACAATTGAAAAACACTATTTCATAGTGTTTTTGCTTTCAATCAATTTTCAAACAATTGCACAACAATATTTCATAAGTTGTTTATGTTGTCAAACAATGTTCAAACAATTGCAAAACAATATTTCATAAATTGTGTACGTGTTCGAACAATGTTCAAAAAACATGCAAAACACTATTTCATAAATTGTTTTTGTTTTCAAACAATGTTCAAACAATTCCAACATAATATTTCTGAAATTGTTTATGTTTTCAAACAATGTTGAAACAATTGCAAAATAATGTCAAATTGTTTATGATTTCAAACAATGTTCAAACAATTGAACATAATATTCTAAACAATTTAAGAATGTTTTGTCGTTTTTTTTCTTGTGTTCCCAGCACAGTGTGTTTTACGACCATACGATTTATTTGTTTCCTACGTTTGGTATGCGGTATGCGACACCGTCCACTACACTCCCAAGCGCTCCCAGACGTGGTGCCAGCCTACATTCGCCACCCCAAAACCACCAGTCATGTAAGCCATATCTGCAGTCCCATGCAGCGTTTGGGACCGGTACATGTCCATGAAAAGAAACAACCGAATGCTCATGTGGTCTTATCCGCGGACATCGACATCCATGTATGATATGTATGACACCATGCTCTGAGGACCAAAACTAGTAACAAAAAGCTACTAGGTGGAGGCCATCGCTATTAGGTTGGAGGCCATACTAGTAGCAAGAAACTACTAGTACTTTTGCACCAGGACCAACATCCCCGGAGACGCCGGCGCAAGACGGTGCCGCCCAAGACGCCATATCTGGGATCACGCCTGAGGTGGGGCAGGGCGGATGAAGCTATGGGAGGTCGAGCGGATTTCAGGTGGAACCCATTGGTCGGGTGGAAGCCCCATCAGACAGGCAAGGGGAGTTCTCCGTACGCACTCACGTTTGTAGAGGAACAAGTTGTCTCAGTGTCCACTGTGAAGCGTGAGTGAATACAAAAGAACATAGATAATTGAAGGACCATATGATGAATTGAAGGAGACCATTGATCTATCTTAAATAATTTATTGAATTACCTTCAATATTATTATACAATTGAAGGACCTACAGAGACCAAGATCGAGTCGGAGGAGTCCAAGATGGTCCAGACCATCGGTTTCTTGGATGTCTTGCTGTCAACGCCCAGGCCCAGCCTTGACCTTTGGAAGAGAACCACATGGAACGTCAAAACCACTGGGTTGGTATTCGGAAAATCGTCTTCCAAAGGTCCATTTTCAGTTTCCATGTTCATTTTGTTATTTCCACTCCCCGAAACGTTAACATCGGACCGGTCAGGAGGTACCTGGACCGGTCGGGGGCTGGACGTGGTGCGTCAGCTCTTGAAAATCGAGTGGTGCGTCAGCTCGAGGAGGCACAGGTGAAGCAGAAGAATCGTGTGAGGTGTGCTTCAAAAGTGTAAAAGGTGTGCCTTTTCTGGTATTAGACATGTTTGACAATTTGCGTACCATGATATATATTGGCGGTTACAGGATATAGTTCTTGGTTGTCATCAGCTTAGCGAGTGTTTTGTGTGAATCCAAATTCATATAATATACAACATCGGATTGGATGCAGGACCATTCCGTGCAGAATCACTTCGGGCTATAAATTCATCGCGGTTCCTATTCTTGGATTTGCTGTCCAGGAGCCTGGAAGGTAAAGAAACACAATTCCCAGGTTTGGGGATTTACCCAGTTCGGCAAAAAAAACAACGACCTGATCTGCAAAACCAGGTATTCCCAGGGGTCCCAGTACCTCCTGTTCACTTCATACACACGAAAGCAGTTCGAATGGTGGACCTCACTGGGGCCAAGAAAAGGACATCTAACCAGCGTGGTCGTGGATACATCTCCTACAGTGGTTTCAGAGTAGATGGCATGCACTGGCACACCTACATGTCTTAGACCGATGGGGGTCCATATAAACCACCAAACTTGGGGATTGTGCCATCCACTCTGAAACCACTGTAACGTATTGCGTCCACTATTGCTCACACCTTCTTAGATGTGAATTTGCTTAACGTCGCATCGGTGAACGAAACGACAACAATCACTTCCCGCGGAGTGCAGTTGATCACTGTTTATGCAGGGAAAGCTTGGTGGGTAAGCACCTTTTCAGCCGAGCCCGATCAAAGGGTGATGTGTGTGTATGTGTGTCCGTGTTCGTCTTCCTTCCATTATACGTCCTTCCACAATGCCACATGATGATGCGCCACGCCTGAACATAATAATGCATCACTCAATCCAAAAACCGACACTGAAATCCTCACCGCTTCGCTGCCGATGCATCCTCACCGCAGACCGCACCGCAGAAATCCTCACCGCAGCACGGCACGACACCATGTTCCGCGCGCCGTCCGCGCGGCCTTCGAAGTGTTGGAAGGCGAAGAAATGTCCCGTGCGGCCGAAGCCCACCATCACCTGCCGGGGCCGGCGACCGGTGGCGTCCGCCGTCGACGTGCGGCGAAGCGAGACGCACGGGTCTACACGATCTACACACGGTCTAAACGACACGCAATACGAGACGGAGGTCTTGTTCTTCCACGGCAGCGGGTGTTGGTGGGCTAAAGACTTAGTTCTTCTTATTCCCAGTGATGTCCTTGTGGGAAAGAATCGAGGGTCAGGCTACGCTACGTATGCATGTCTTCAGACTGCGGAATTGGACAAGGCCGGGCCAGGCTATTGGTGCCGTATACTGCTTGGTTGTTCATTTCGTGGGGCTATCCTCTCTTTTCATCAGGTTTCGAGCTATGACCTGATCATGAGCCAGGAGCCCCCATCCAAGGAACTGGAAGATTGGTCGATCAGTTGGGGGGTGCTTCGGTTCAAGTTTGCTTTAGGGCCATTCGCCATCTTTTGCCACCTTCGTCTGAGACAAGTGGATGTTGCTTCTACCCTGTTGGCTTTGTTGTTTGGTCAATTTCCTTGGACCAGTGGCAGAATCTGGGGACCATTGGCAACCACTCGCGGTGGTTCCTCGCCCTGAACCAATGAGAAGCCTATGAGAAGCCGCGGGTCCCAAGACCCCCCGCGTTGCGGTGGAGAAGCAACGCACAACCTCTGCGGGTCCCCTCTGGGCCCGTACTCTTAGGGAACAAGACAAATTCAATCTAGCGCCACCCTGGGTGTGATGTTTTAAAGTCGTGAAAGGTGAACATGACATCGTTTGGCAGAAACCAACCATTATTGTCGTATACCAACAGTTCCAAAGTGGTGCTTATTGGAGGATAGGGGTGCCCATGATCCACTCACTGGATGCGACTAAAAACCCACTCCTTTCTGATCCATGACGACCCATGTGCTGCAAGGGGGTAGATCGCTGAGATCAGATGAGGTATTCCTCATGGACCGACCAACGAAGGAGGCTGACCAGTGTCGTCAGTGTCCTTGCTTTTTGTATTTCAGGACTTTGCCCTTCTTGTTACCATCCTGCTTTGCCCGTCCAAGTGGATGGTATACACTAGTCCTAAGAACTAGGAACCCCCCAGCTGCTCGTCATACCCAGCCTCATCGCAAATCATCAAGATATCATACCTAGGTCCGAACTCACACACCTCAGACTTCCAAACCTAAAGAATCCGGAGACCAAGCGCATTCAATTAAAACAAAGTAAAACAAAGCACTTCAAAAATCCACTAGCACTGCTGACAGAGAAAATTCTAAAGCTGCTTCATGGCATAGAACAATACATAAACAACACACTTCCGGGAACAAAGGGATCGCGAATCCATCAACACTCACTCCTGGTGCCACATGAGAATTTCACGTCCCCAATGTACCACAGATAGACATGTTCCATGAACGTGTTAACAAACATAAGCTGTCCCAGAAGGTGGATTAAGTTGTGAACACAAATCTGCCATTTTCTCCCAAATGAGAGCAGCGCGGTTAGCAATGACTTCCACTACAAACCTCTGACCTCGCGAAGAAAGAACAACAGCTTATGATAGAATTGGTATATAATCGTCTCTGAAAACACAACTCTATCATAAGCACAACTCAGCTGGCGCCTTCTACGAAGGCCGGCTTTCGTAATCGTCTCTGAAAGATCAAATTGAATTTGCAACATGAATCATGATGGATATAGGTCGTCCTCACAAGATGTTCATTTGCGTCGTCCTCATCTCAGTCAAACCCCTCACGGTCCGATAGGTTTTGACCCCGGAGGAGCCTCAGCTTGACCGGTGAATCGACCAGGTGGTGCTGAAACCAGGTATAGTTAGTGTATAATCCAGCCAGGATCACCCAAACAGCATGCTCCTTTGGACTGAAAAGCCCACCTGGAGTCTCAGTTCTCTCGGAAAACGGGGACAAGATGGTACAAGTACCTGTTTTAACACGGTCACGTCCCATTTTTTGGGGGTACTTGGAAGAGGCCTCAAATCCCGTCAGTTTTGTTGTGCTGTACGTCCCGGGACTCTCGCTTTCACCAAGTGACTTGTCGCAGAGGGACCGGACTCCCTCGATGTATCCTTCGGGCGGCACCAGGACACCGCCAGCGCCGACGATGCCTCGGCGGTGCTCGCGCACGGTGTCCAAAGAAGGCCAGCGTGGTGGAGGATAAGGAGAGGTGCAAGGTTGCAAGGGTTCAGTGTTTTGGTGGTTTTGAGGGTGCCAAGATGTGCCAAGACATAAGCACTACACTCTAGTCTTCCAAGACCATTAAAAGAAATGTTGACCTGCTCTCTTCCAGTGTAAAATCCTGAGTAAAACGATGGTTGTCCGGTAAAGACCATTAAAAGATGGTCGGAAGCCTACGGACCATCAAACATAAACAAGTCTAGAAACATGCACCCAGTACCCTCCAAACCATGCCCATTGCTGCCCCATCTCTGTCTATATAGTCTATGATCTGCTTCCACGCAAGATGCTTTTACACCGCACTGCTTCCGCAGTCCACACCGAAGCAGTCCATCTCCGATTCTCCGAGCTCGCGGCTCTCGACCATGATGGCCGCAATGGTGTCAGGCCCTTCGGCCAAGATCTGATCCTGGCCGATCCGGTGACCGCCCTCCGCACCGGCCAGGTGACCCGGATCCGTTCGGGAAGGTCCACGACCAGCGGTGATCAAGGTCGATCGCTGCAGGTGGGTCTATAGCTACCCATGTACAACTATGCTAGTGACTATATATATATATGCAATACATGCATATATATATATATATATGACGCAGTCAGTCCTGAAGAGACAATAAAGTGGACACGTCGAGAAACTGGCACACACACACACTGGGCAAACACTGGACACACTTCGCCCCAAACCTTTCCTTGCCGCCCCGAACCGAGGGGTGTCTTTTCTCACCACGTCCCAAAACGCCTTCTTCGCCGCTCGAGTTCTGCGCTCGGAACGCGTGAACTCACTCGTCCTCCAAGGTGGCCAAGGTCCGCCGGGTGGCGCTTTGGTCCGTGGAACCCCATGAGAAGCCTGGAGCCGACCCAAGAGATCGGAGAGGCGACCAGACCCGGGACCAGGCCGAGGAGTTGTGTCCAGGACTGAGAGATGCGAAGGTCCAAAGTCCTTTGTCAAAAAGAATGGTTTGATTGTAGGGGAGCTGAAAGGAAAGGTCCTTTAGCCTTTACTTCACTATGAGGAAAAGTATTAGTCTTTGGATTTCTTAGGGAATAGACTCCTTGAAATCATGGTTGTGAGGATGGGAAATTGGGATGGGAACTTGGACCCCATTATGATATCTAATCACTGAGGAACACGGAGTCTGTTTCATGTTTGGTTTCACCTTCTCGCACAGTCTGGCCTGTCAGGCTTTCGTGCGCTGTGTCAGTGTTTAGTTTTTCAATGGTCCTGGTGTCTTGTTCCTACATCCTGTGTGCCATGGGAGCAGACCGGACGAGAAGTGTTCCACCAGCAAATCACGCAGCTTCACTCGCAAAGCTATGAAGGCTCTATACCCAAACGCTCCCGAAACCTCATATGGGATCTGGTCGAACGTGGTGAGCAATCCCTATACTGACTCCCTCAATTTCTCACCAACCCGGTCGTTTTTTTGATGTTTTTTGGGGTTCCATGTGATCCGAATAGCAGGGGACAAGAGGTCCTCAAAACATCCGAGGCTTTCGGTGACCTGCTGATGCTTAACTTGAACCGAATGACGATAGGTGCAAGAAGACTTGGTAAGTAAGTTCTGAGGTGGCATCAGAAAAGGGAACAGGCCCAACACACAACCCACACAATAATTTTACTGCTCTGTCGTTTCATGGTTGCGTTTTGTGCTCACTTGAGGACAATACCAAACCCGAAAGAAGTTGACCGCCCTGCTTGGTTTCATTTGCACCACAAACTACTGTTCCTGGCCCAAACACATCCAGTTCACCATTCAATATCAGTTTTAAAACATATATGAATTGCGTTTAAGCAATTTATGACACTGTCAATGGCGTAGCGAAGGGTTCTCGCTTAACTTTGGGGGTTGGGGGTAGAGTCAAAATTCAAAAATATGCGATGGGAAGTTGTAGTTTTTGCAACCGTTCGCGGTTGGGTGGCTATGGCGCTAGACAGTGTGCGGCTGTGACATGGGATTGGCGTTCGCAGGGTGGTCTGTTGGAGGTGTTGGAGGTGGTAGTGCCTCGAAGCTGCGTTTTCGTGAGCAGTGTGGAAATCCATTGAACAATGGATCGGCGGAAGCTCTTTGTTTCAAACCAACAAGATTTTGTATGGCCTAAGGCGATGTGTTTAGTGTTGGCTGAAGGGTTTGCAATGAAATTGCTTACAGCAAACGCAATGTTTCCGTTCAGGTTTTTCAGGTCGCTGGCAAGACCACATGCACAACGTCGTGAAGAGAAGTCTATGACGGGCTGCCCCTTTTGAGGGTTGTGATCAAGAACCTCGGGGCGCTTGTGGAGTTTCAGAATGTGCACAGAGCTATGCGAGATGCGGGGCAGTTTTTTCATCTAAGATGAATGGGCCAGTTTCACGAGGGCGTCCTAACTACGACAATATAAGAGGAGAGCTGTTTTTGGGAGCAGCCAACAAGCAAACAATTCACAAGACACAAACCTTGCTCAATGAGTATCCGGCAGTTTTTCGCTACGTTGCATATAGTTGCATATATAGTGCCCCATTCGTCATACACCTGAGCACACGTGTCCTGCCTGCGTGCAATCTGGCTTGCAGTATCACCTGGTGCCCCATTGTATTGAACCTGCCTAACAGGGCCTTGGCCCTGAAGGAAGAGCAAAAGGGAAAGGGAGGACCACCCCCCTGCGCAAATCAACATGTCCAGCCAGGTGTGGGCTAACATTGAGGCGGTGTTCATAGAGGACGTTGCATTTTCCTTGAACTGGACTTGGCCTGGATATGCGCTGCCCTGGACGTTGCTTGTTGATCAGTGAGTTGGTGTTCGACTGCCATTTGCATGCACTGCAGTGCTTCTTGCACACCACGCACAGCAAAGAAACCTCTAAGACCAAACAAACAAACAAACAAACAAACTGACACACATGCAAACACTCCTGGCGTCGATCCCCAGTGCCACCCCATGAAGATGTCCGTAAGGTTGTGGTGGAAAGTCGACATCTTGACAGTGCACCAACCCAGGTATGCCCTTTTCGCGTTGGTGGACAGTACTGCCAGGGCTGTATCCTGGCCTGTGGCAGCTATAGCCGGCCATCACTGCTGCGTTGGACTGTCCGTGTGCATGGTACGGATGTGGCTTCGATGCCCTGGCCTTGACTGCGAAGGGTCTGAGGGTTTATCCCAGATTTATGGCGCTGGTCCCAGTCCCGATGTACTGGTCACTTCCAGGACGTCCTTTTGGACATCCATCTCCGCGCAAAAGCTGCAGGCGACACCGCCAGGGATCCAGCCAGGACTAGTGTCAGGAAGTAACCGCCCCTGGCCCCTGGCAAATACAAAGGGAAGTCTGCAGCCGACGGAGGCACGACCGGCGCATAAGGAGGCGAGAGCACATCCTTGCAGTCGTGACATCCATCCACTGAAGGCCTGCCCTGCAGACATCTTGCATCAAGGGCCGCAGACTCTGCGTTGATCTTGCATCAAGGGCCGCAGACTCTGCGCTGATCTTGCATCAAGGGCCGCAGACTCTGCGTTGATCTTGCATCAAGGGCCGCAGACTCTGCGTTGATATATTGGCAGCCATCCGAGAGCTGTGATTGAAAAAGACCGCGCGACCGAGCGAACCTGCGTCCTGATAAGGACGGATGGGAAGCTATTCCAATCCCTATAGTCTTGGCCTTTTTGGCCTTGGGCTCATCGTCCATCTCATTTGCATCACTATTGCCGTCGGTGGCCTCGTTGTGCTCGGGGCTGGACGGAACAAAAGATGAAGGTGAAGGCGGTGAAGGTATAGGTTCCTGTCCCACGGCGGCAGTGGTGATGGTTGTGCCAAGCCTGAACCTGTGGGCAAATCACATCACATGGCTGCTGAACAACTGCCACGCTGACGACAAAGGGTGGCCGTGGGTCTGAAGGAGCTGAGGTGTCTCCTAGAGTGTCCGCAAGAGTTTTCCACAAGGGTGTCCCACAAGAGCGTCTAGTCTTCACAAGTGCGTCCCACAAGAGTGAGTGTAGTGAGTGTCCCACCAGAGTGTCCTACAAGAGTGTCCCAGCCCCACAAGAGCGTCCTACGACAGAGTTCCCTACAAGATTGTCTAGAAGAGCGTCATACAAGAGTGAGTGTCCCATGAGAGTATCCCACAAGAGTTTTCCACAAGAGCGAGGGTCCAACAAGAGTGTCGCACAAAAGTCTCCCACCAGAGTTTTCCACAAGGGTGTCCCGCAAGAGTGTCTTATAGAAGAAGTGCCCGACGAGAAGAGTGTCCTACAGGAGCGTCCGCAAAAGTATCCCACAAGAGTGCCTTATAGAAGAAGTGTCCGACGAGAAGAGTGCCCCCACAAGAGTGTTTCCTATACAATAGAGTCCCAGAAGACTGTCAAACTTGAGAGGAGGGAGACACGAAAGGTAGGACAGCGGGAAGAGAAGAGAACGCGAGAGGCAGGAACAAAAATGCAATGTTCGACATGGTGATTTATCCCCTCGGAGGCGACCTTTCGTAAATATATGTTCATATGCACTCTAAATGTTCAAACATATGCTCTCGAAATGTTCAAAAAGATTCTTAGGAAAACAAACTTGCCCCATGGCTCAGATCATCGGTGAGCATTGACTCGGAACATCATAGGATTTGAACTATCCTGAAACCATAAGAGGCTCACGAAGACGCTCCCCAGGAGAGAATTGACGTCCTTCACAACACAAACTCAAGGTATGTATCCCCTCGGGGAACACCTTTTCGTGATTAGAATTTCATATTCACTCTTTCTGAATGTTCAAGAGGGTTTCAACTATCCTGAAATCATGAGAGGCTCACGAAGACGTTCTCCAGGAGAGAATTGATTTTGAAAAATCAATTCCATGGGGGCGGGGGGGGGTCCGGGGTCTGTATTGAAAAATCAATTCGAGGGGGGGGGGTCTGAATTGAGCGATCAATTATTAGACCCGGACGTCCCAACACTCTTCGCAAGAAAAACTCAAGGTATCCCCTTTAAAGGGCTACCTTTCGTGACAATGGTTGGCCGTTTGTTTTCGTGTGTGTGTGTCCACACCTGTGCCTAAGGTTTTGAGTCACAAAGGACGCTACTAGGGGCCCCTGGTTTCGCTACTAAAGGCTCCTGGTATCGCTACTAGCATGCAGTTTTTCAGCGAGAAAAAAAGAGGCAGGGTGCAGTTTTTCAACGCAAAAAAGAGGCAGGGGGCCACAGCTCCATTCCTCAGTCTGTGGCCAACGAAGCTACTGATGTTTGGAGAGGATATGAACCTGGGACGCCAGGTTCACGTACCTGCTTTTACTATTTCAACTGTTGACAAGCTGTCCAATCCTGTGTTTTGCAGTAAGCGGCTAGTGCATTTCCAAACTTTGTTAAACATCTTCAAGTTTGCCGACTTCATCACCTTTCGGTTTGTGCTTCTTTCCGTTCATCAAGTCAAGGGGGACTTCATTCTGATCCTAGCTCTTGCGAGCAACAATCTAAGTGTGTTTTCGCCACAGGGTCCCACTGAGGGCTGTGGTGTGATCCCCGACAAGGGGCGCAGCATGTGCACAGACCCAGATCATGGGGGACCCACCTTGAATGCTCCGTTTGCACTCTTGGACTTCTCTTGATTCACCTTGATCCGCGGTGCTGCATGATACCACTGATACTATGCCGCAGGGCTTACTGTGATCAACTCCAGTTTGGATTCTCACACATGTCCATGTCATGCTGCTAAGTATTCACAGGCCGCAAGTGAGCGCGAAACGAGAGTGGGTTTTCTTGGTCTGTTTGGTATTTTCTTTCTTGCTGTTGTGTTTCGTTTTCTTGAGGCCTTTCTTTAGGTTCCAGGTGCCTTTCAGACAAGGGTGCGCCGGCCCAAATCGGCTTGACTTGAATGCCAATGATGGCACACCCTATCCCACCCTCCCCCCTACCTCCCTGCCCCTGGGCCCTCGTTGCTATCCCACCCGCTATCTAGGGTTATAGAAGGAAGTCGCACTCAACACACTTGTGTGTTGGTGCCTTTCCTTCTATTTCTCCTGTCCCACCTCTAGCTACCCGGGCGGTATAAGACCAAAGTCCCGCCCGCTAACTACTTTCGTTTAACTAAGTGGGCCTCGTAACTACACCTATCTTTCTTTCTTGCCCTCTTAGTCTGCTTTTGTTTTGTTTGCTTTGTCTGTCTTTCTAAGGCTTTTTAGGTGGCTAGTAATTTTCAGCAGCGCCAATATTGGCGCTATGTGTACAAAGCTTTGCGTCACAAACGACGCTACTAGGGGCTTCTGGCCTCGCTACTCGGAGCCAGGACGATACTACTAGGGGCCTCTGACCGTTCTGTCTACGGGGTGTAAGGACGCTACTAGGGGCTCGTGGCCACGCTACTAATTTGCAAGTAGGGGACAGCGCGCCGAGTACGGCTTCGTGTGTGTGTCCACACCTGTGCCTAAGGTTTTGAGTCACAAAGGACGCTACTAGGGGCCCCTGGTTTCGCTACTAAGGGCTCCTGGTATCGCTACTAGCATGCAGCTTTTCAGCGAGAAAAAAAAGAGGCAGGGGTGCAGCTTTTCAGCGCAAAAAAGAGGCAGGGGGCCACAGCTCCATTCCTCAGTCTGTGGCCAACGAAGCTACTGATGTTTGGAGAGGATATGAACCTGGGACGCCAGGTTCACGTACCTGCTTTTACTATTTCAACTGTTGACAAGCTGTCCAATCCTGTGTTTTGCAGTAAGCGGCTAGTGCATATCCAAACTTTGTTAAACATCTTCAAGTTTGCCGACTTCATCACCTTTCGGTTTGTGCTTCTTTCCGTTCATCAAGTCAAGGCGGACTTCATTCTGATCCTAGCTCTTGCGAGCAACAATCTAAGTGTGTGTGTGTGTGTCACCTCTCGTCTCTAGGGATTCTACCTTGCTACTTTACAGCAGGGGAACTGGGCACTCGGTGACTGACCCAGTTCAACGAAGCTAGGTCACAAAGTGGGATATTCGGACTGATCATCCGAACGTACCTGCATTGAACTCAAACTTTAAGCTTTCTCGTTTGGCAATTCAAATCGTTGGACTCTTCGCCATTCCGTTCACCAAGTCAAGGTCTAATCTGCAGTAAGAATAAAGGGCTAAAGATCACCGCGCAACACTGAAACACCAGGCTTCGAAGCCCGTGGAGCCCCCCTTCGGCTCGTGTGTGCCTTCGGCTTCGTGGGCTCCATCTGGTTTTCTGGCGGCCCCCTTTTCTGCAGCAAATGGCACGGTCCCGCCATCTCCAGGTCAGTTCAACGGTCCCGCCATCTCCCACCCGGCTGTTTTTCCACCCGCCAACAGCCCAGTGGCCACTGGGCTGTGGGTTGAAGAACTTCACGAAGCCTCAGATCCGGGTCGTCGGAAATCCAAGGCATGATCAGTGCGAATCGTTCCAAGAGCTGCCTGAATTCCGGAATCACCGGACATCCCAGAGCTCTAGGTGGTTGGAATCCAACATCCAACAGCTTGGAAGTATCAGAATCTCTAAAAGAATGATCTGCTGTAAAGAGTGAGGAAGGATTACTGAGCTTCCTTCTAGAGACCCAAAGAAGCTCCTGTTCATGAAACATCATGAAACCACTGGTGGCAACCAACCAGCGATAGCCAACGTACCATGTCTCACCAGTTTTAGTAGTCACTTCCACCACCCTTTCTCAGCGGTGCTTTTCCATGTTCCTCACCCCTCATCTCACCCCTCATCGCCCTCCCCGGACCCTCACCGCGCTGTCTGGATGTTTCGACGATGAAGACGCGGACGACCTGTAACGACTTTGGTCTGTCCAAGGACCCTGTTTGGTAACGAAGGACCCTGGGCCGCCTGGACATCCCATTCTAGTCCAAGGTCACTGGGCCAAAGTGTCTGGACATCCCATGACATCCCTCTAGCTCTGGCCAAAGTGCCTGTGCCTATATTCTCTATCTTCCCCAAAGCTTCGCCTGGCTGCACCCTGATATCCAAACAGTCCACACGCCTTCCCTCGCCTGCTCTTTGGCACTAGTCCCTATAGGATGTCACTCTATATAGTCACCACCAAAAAGCCACCTCCTTCCACACACCACTGGCCACACACCAAGGACGCTGCACCGACACACACAACACACCGCACCGCAACGCACCGCAACGCAACGTGCGACGACGTCCCGCCGCGTGGCCGTGGGTGTTGGACTCGGTGAAGCGACGTCGAAAGTCGCCCGTAGCGCCCAACGAGCTCGTGCTGCCGCCGTGGTAGGACCTGCTACGGCGGTGTTGACGAGGAGGAGGAGGAAGACGCGCATCCAGGTCTATCGAAGGGAAGACCGTGGAAGACATCACGTTGGATGCCATGTGTTGGCTTTAAATGCAGGGTGTCATCATGGGATATCCAAATATATTCACAGAAGGATCAACAGTTCTTACACAAAACACTGGTGGGTGGCTGTCATCTCCTAAGTGGTTGGTGAGCGGTTTGTTCTTTGTTGAAGCCACGTCTTGCTGATGTTTTGATCACTTGTGACTCTTTGACTTGGACCTGTGCATCTATACTATATATAATCAGAAGCTACATTTCCTTAGGGTGGTATTGTACTGTTTACTTTACTTTGACATGTCGCCGTTCCACACCCATGCTCATGCTTCTCACAGGAAACAACATTGGTGTACGATGGTCACCCTACGGTTTCTTGCTGTATGTAAGGGCATTATTACTGCCCTAGGGATCTACACACCTTCTCAGAAAGCACATGGGCCTCCAAGCCTACATAAACAGTCTTCAGTCACCTTCCCAGAAGGTATGTCCCAGAAGGTATGTGACATAAGCCCATAGGGTTAACTATTTAACTACTCCCCCAGTTTCCCCGGAACAACAATGTAGCCATGTAGCCTTTGTTCCCCATCTCTTCATCTCAGTGAGGTTTCCCCAATCCCCAACTTGTCAACAAACCCAAACGCAGGACCAAACAGTGCCGACCGAACATCTCCGCAGCGCCCGTTCGCCTTCCGTTCAACCATCAAAAGAGTTTGTTTGACCAGGTATATATTTGCAGTGTACGGTCCTGAGCAAAGCTAGTTCTTCAGGAAGAAACTATGATTTCCATTTTCTGGGCCACTGGCGGGCCTCCGGATGAGACAGGGATTATGATGTCAAAAGCGGAAGTCGCCTATACTGGGTGAAGATCTTCTGCTTCCCCGTGTAGAGCCGCGCCATGCGGATCGCGGCCTGGAACGCGATCCGGGCAAAAGGATGATGGGTGAGGAAATGGTGACACCTGGTGGTCCGAGACTTCATCTTGGGAAACTTGGTGGAGTGCATGTGGGTGAGCTGGTGGATGAGTTGTGTGATCTAGCTTTCAGGTCCGATGTTGCTTAATGGTTTGGCTTGGAGATGTTCACGATTCGATGCAAGCCTTGCCAGAATTAAAACTGATTCGATCTATGATCTCTACTTGGATTTCGGATTTGCCTACCCAACCGAGAAACATCAAGAACCATCCACTATAATTATATTCTATAGTAGGGAACATCAACATCACCGATGCGCAGATGTTCTGACTTCTTGAGTCGTTCAGACTTGGACTGCCACTCTCACCCTCCCAACCAGGTCCACACCGGTCCCAACCAGGTCAACCAAGGTCCACCGAACACCGGTCGAAACACGGTCGTCGAACGGTTTCGAAAGCGGACCTCGTTGGCTTCGCCGCCGCCGCTGGGGAAGAGGAAGCCGTTCAAATCGCCGGGGCAAATCTCGGCCATCAGCCTGGAGAACAGGCGCCAGGTGGGGAAGTGTGGCTTTCCACTTTGGGGAAGAAACCTGGAGTGGAGTTCGTGCCAAAAGACCAAACAATATAAGAAGTGTGACGGTTGGTTAATACGACCAACTATAAATACGACCAAAATACATCCAAACTGAGAATGTACGAAGTTAATAGTGTGAACTTAGTGGTTTGGTTGTTTGACCATACTAGTCAACATGTGTGTGTGTATCGGGTATCGGCCTATATGTCTTGGTGGGAACCCCGGTCGATCAACAGGAAGAAACTCAAGTGATATGTATGATTCTTTCCTCCCTTGCCTTTGCTCTTGCTTGCACTTCCAACTAAGGACTTATACACACTACATTACACCACTAAGGTCAAGCTAAGTCCATCCTAAGTAGTATTGACTTAGACTAGCTACACTAAGGTTTCGGACTGGCTTTGCTCATGTCAACCATTTACTTTGACACTAAGGTCAGTCTGAAACCTCAAACCTCCGAGTTTGCGAACATTTCGACTCCTTTGGTCTTTGAGATGGAACCCCAAAAACCCTCCCTACACCCCTGTCCCATATCGTCAGGAGAAGGTGGTACTCGGCCCCCCTGGCGACCACCCACCCCTGTGCCAAAACGAAACGGACGCAGGCATCCCCTCACCCTCTAACCCTCTCGGCCTTGCGAGCTTCGCACGCACCGGCGCCAGGCCCAACCCGCCGTACCTCACCGGGAGGACGGTTCGGAACGAAAGCCGTGGAAGGTCCGGTTTGGAAGGTTCCAGTTTTGATGTTGGGTTTTTGAAAACTTCAGGGACCTTAAAAAGAGGTGATCTTCTAAACCTACGAAATCCGACACTGGTCTGTAAGACCTTCCTTCAGTGGATGGCGCCCAGCTTGGGTGGTCTTCCGTTCTTTTGCTCATCCAAGGAGGTCTTGGAGGCCATGCCATGCACATAAACCATTGATGATTTCAACCGCCCCTAAGCCTGGAGAGATTGTGACATCAATGTCTGCGGGGGCTATTCATGAGTTAGGGTATTCATCAGCTTTGCCTGGCCATTGTTTCCAAGGACACCAACAATATGTGTCTTTTCTGATTTTCTTCTATGGTCTGAATGCTTGAGGGGTTTTCTCCATCCAAGGAGTGGTGTAACATGGTGTAACTAGAGTGACGTGTTGATGTATTCAGGAAAGTAGGTTTTGTTGGGTCTAAGTGATCAATCCCTTGTCTGGAACTTAAGTTATGTAACTTCACTGTATGGATCCATTGCCTCAATGGTGTAAACCGTATACCCATGCAGGCCTGATTTCTACTGGAGGCTCTGCGCACGGAACTGGAGGAAACAAACTATGGTGCTTTAGAGGATCAATCAACACAACCAGTTTGCTGCAGCTGCACTGCGCCACCCAGACCTCTGAAGATTCACCCTTCTTGCTACCTTCTGTGGAGTTGTGGGAACCCATCCGTCCAACAAAACCGACCCAAACACGGTGCGTTCTGTACGACCCGTTCGCATGGAGCGGTTGTTTCTTCTGGTGGTTCTTTCATGAACGCGGGTCAAGAGTCCATAGATGAATGCTTTGGGTCGGGGATTCTCAACAGCTGTTCAACATCTTCAGCCTTCAGCCGCGTGTTGAAAAACATCAGATCACAAACATGAACTCTGTATACATGACCCTATGGAAAAGAATGTGTTTGACTCTTGGGGGGGTTGTAGGGTTTTGGGATTTGGGGATTTTGAGGGTTTTACCTACACACCATCCACACGTTGGGTGCGCCGGCCATCTGAACACATAAACCGCATAAACATACCAGGACCATCCAATGGTTGGTCGATGGACCACCCTATCTACTGACCAGCCAGGACGCCCCTGCAACATTATGCCCTCCCGAGACTTAACATGGACCCTGACAATGGCCCCTGGAGGATTGTTTTCTTCGACCAACCACTGGTTTTCAGGTTCCCTGCTAGCTTCTTTGGGGTACATCATTCTACGAATCGTCCAATCCGACTCCGTCCTGCGTGTCTGGGTCACAAGTAAGGCAACGAGTCCAACTGCTGGTGGATCGCCTCCTGTCGCATCACGGTGCTGTGGCTGATTGCTTTGGAAAAATCAACTTTCCCTATATGGATCCACTGCCACCCTCCTGCGAAGGTGATTGGAAGCACCTTTGCGCGGCATTGGATTCAGCATAATTTACACCACACCACACTTTCGGAGTGATGTCGACACTTTTTGAGCACAATCACATCCACCAAAAAATTCAGCTGAGACCTGTCACGAAAACACAGCTCCGAAGCAACAGGCTGAAACGTAAATTCCTCTGTCACAGTGGCATCTAACACCAAAGCCTGCGAACGCCAATCCCACTGTCACAGCGAAGGCAACTGAGTATTTCACAAAGTTTGCACCCGCTCAGAAACATCATTCTCCACACTTCAACATGTTGTGTTTCCATGCGTTTCCACGCTATCACACGCGAACCTGAGACGTCATGCTTTCATCCAAAACCTTCTCCAACAGCTTCCCCCACAGTCAGCGACATAGCGGCCTACTGCGGACGGCTGCGAACGCTATGAGACTCACCATTTGTTGCGGTCTACCCAGATTAGCATGCTTTGCCCCCCAAAACTCGGAGCAGCAGCTTAATCCCAACCAGATGGGGGCGTGCCACCATTGAGGGCTGTCCGAGATCAGGATAGCCCTGGCATCAGCGCCGCCTTGGAGATCTGGATCTCGTGGTGGCCACGTGCACATGTGAGCACATGTAGGAGGAGCATCACGACGCAAGAGCAGATTCGGCTGTAGCGCTGGTTGGAGGAGCGTCGTCAGCGTTAATAGATGCAATCTCAACAGCCAACAGCAGCACCGTAGTCGACAAAGCCTAAGTCAGTGAACTTCATCATGTTCAATGGCCTACCTGTTCTGCGGTGGTCCTTCCAAAAAAACAGCAAAAGCACGAAGAAAATGCGCTGAGGCGCTGTGATGTCGAGGCTTTCAATTCGCGGCCTCCAACACAACACTGCCGTCCCTAGCAGGAGCATGGTGATCGTCCGCGCTTGCTCCTTGCCCTTGCTTGAGCCTTTGCCTCTTGCTCTGCCATTCTTTCCATGTTTTGTGTTGGTATGTGTTGAACTTTGGTGTCACAGAACATGTCCTCATCTTCATCCCACAAGCTACCCACTTTCTCCTTGTGCTCCTGGATCTTGCGCTCCGTAGGGGCCTTCCAAGGAGGCCAGCACCTGACGACACAAGCACGTTGAAAGAGTGCCCTTGAGACAGTCATGCTGTCAGTGTGTCAGAGTGCGATGCCCTGCCTCACCAATTCAACCTGCCTGTGTCTTTCACACATTGGAGGAGGAGGCTTCAAAAATGTTGGGACGGAGGGTCGGATACACGGCGCTATGTTTGAAGCATTCCAGCTGCCGCCCCCATGTCCCATGCAACTTGCAGCCTATCGTCAACCTGCATGACCAACAAGTTCTGAAACCTTCAGGAGAGGAACCTGTAAAATCTTTAGACAGGAGAGAGACAGGAGAGACATCCAGTTTAGTGTTGGGGCTCTAGCTTAGGACTGGCCACGCCCCTGAATTCTGTGGCCGGGTCTTGTCCTCTTCTTGTCGTGCTGTTGTCCTTCTCTTGTCCTGCTGTTGTCCTGTGGCCGCGCTGACCAGCCCTTGTCCTGTGGCCGCGCTGACCAGCCCTGGCCACACTGACTGGCCGTGCCCCTGAACTCTGTGGCCGGGTCTTGTGCTCCTCTTGTCTTCTCTTGTCCTGCTGTTGTCTTCCTCCTCTTGTCCTTCTCTTGTCCCTGTCTTATCCTGCTGTTGTCCTCTGGCCGGCCGCGCTGACCCGCCCTGGCCACACTGACTGACCGCACCCCTGAACTCTCTGGCCGAGTGTTTAGAATGCTGAGCGATGTCCAATCGGACGCCCGCGAAAGAAGCAAGTTAAGCAAGTTCGTGTATGGGGCCCGCCTCATACTGTTGATAGATGGGGCGCCCGATAATGTGCCCGTGAGACGCATTGGACATTGTCAATTTGTTCATGAATATGGTCAACAGCTGGAGAGGAACAAATAGCGGCAGCGATATCGATGCCGACAAAACCCATTGATGAAGCAGTTTGCTCTTGGGGGGGAAGGTAGGGCGTACCGAGAAATCGTTTTTGACTAACATTAGTCCAAGAGTCCAAGCGAATTGTTTTGAAACTGTTTGGGGTCTATGCTGGTATAAATTCATAGTTCCCCAGTTCCTGCTTAACAGCCTTAAGACACCTGTTCTTTGAGACAAGTAGTTTCAATACCAGCTACTGACTACCTACTGTCGCACTACATACCCACAAACAAAGGTGCTAAACGCACCGTGTGGGTCTTCGACTTCAACTGCCAGCACTCTTCTCGCTGCCGAACTCAGCACGGTCCTTGATACTCTCTGGAACGGTGTACCCCAAGTTCACGCACACCGCCTGGCGACGGGCGGACTGGCCTGTGACGCACCGAGCCGAGCGTGAGAAAACAGCATGTTACGTACCCTAGGGACCCAAGAAGGCTTTTGGGGTGGGTTTACAGGGTCCAAATACCTTATGAGGAGGCACTTGGAGGTGTTTTAACTTCTTTTGGATCTTTTTCCGCCAGGGCTGGACTCTAAATTGAATTGACATGTTATGGAAATGCTGGTCCAATCGTCTTCACGGATCGGGCACACAATCAGGATGCACCCCGATACGAAGTGGAAGACAATTCCTTCCACCATCTTCCATTCTGACGTGGTCTTTTTAAGCCCCGGACAGTGGAAGATGTTCTGCACACACCGGGCCCCTCCGTTCGCTTGGCATCGCTCTACACTCCCAACGAAGTCATCCATGGGCCAACGAGGATGGAAGCGGCCCCGAAGACGATTTCGGATGACCATGAATTTCGAAGACCAACCAAACAGGTGGTGCATTTCCTCCACTGCCATCGATGATTTCAGGCATCCGGAGAACTGCTGCTTTGGCATTCGGAACAAGCCCAGGTGCCCATCATTGGAGCCATCGGTCTCCTGCCCACCTGGCTAGTCCAGTCGAGGTATCTCTTTCCATTCCTCGGTCACAGCCCGGAAGAAGAACTGATTCTGCACCACAGACGATATAGATCTTCCATCTTAAGTGACTGTGCTACGCAATTCTCTGCACAGCAAAACGTCAAATTGACTCCGTTTCATGTCCCCAACCGTCTCGGATTCTCCAGATTCTCGGCAACCTTGGCGAACAAAAAAACATCCCTGACCACGCCCATCCGCGCCCCCATGTTCACCTGAGAAGCCATCTGCCGACCGCAGCCCGCAGACTCCAAACAACGAGATGGTGCTTTGATCCGAGCAACGAGTCATAGAGGTACACTCCCTCGGAGCGCTCGAAGACGGGCAAGTCCTGCAAGACAGGAGGTGGTGGGGGTGCATGGATCACTGAAATCATCCCCCTATAGGCTTCCAAGAACCATTGTCTTAATGGCCTTTACCAAAGAACACTTGTTTTACTAAGGATTTTTACACTACACCACCAGGTCAACCATTCTTTTAATGGTCTTTAAAGGCTAGGGATCCAGTGCCCTTCTGTTTGAATCTCCCTCTGTTTCAGAGTACTGCATGGACTGTTTCAATGCACGGACGTTTGTGCGTACTTTGTTCATGTGCACCACTCCAACAAACACTTCTGACCCCCCCTGGAAACAAAGGTTAACCACCGAGCTTCCCACCTGTTCATCTTCAATTAATGAACCCCCCAAAGAAGGTTCAAATTGGTGAAAGGTTATCCACCAAGGTCCTGGGACAGGATGTTCAAAAGGGTGCTTCCACCCTTCGTGGAACATTCTTTTTCCGTCCGCTCTGGGGTCCTGGGAATGCCAAGCAAAGAGCTGAAGGTTTCAAAACCGGTCAAATCGCATCTGATCGCCCTCATGTAACCTGATGTAATAGTCTAACGCTGACGCAAAACACCTTGTCCCATCGAATGTCTATCACACAAACATGCCCAGTGGGAGTCCTTGCTCTGGTATTTAGTATGATTCGACAAAAGGCCGTAAAATGGCTAGGATGCGGTTGGAGCCACAGGAATTTATGTTTGATTTGAGCAAAATCCATCTTCACTCATCGCCACGTGATTTCCCTCGCGGGACCTGCTGGGAGCAGAGCCATCGCGCCATGACCGCCGATCGGTCCTTGACGGGGCTGCTATTGGACCACGAGAGCATCACATGCTCTTCAGCTGCCTGTTGGATATCAGCTGTGCTCCAATCCTCCTGACGCGAGGCATGCAGCAATCACGATCGGAAGCCATTCACAATGTTCGGTGGTCGGGAATTCCGAGGTGCAGAAACACGTCACGGAGAAAGGGACACATTGTTAGACTCACATTGACACCCCTAAAGAGAGAATCCCTCCTTTAGAATGGATAAACACTCTAAGACAGAATCCCATTCTACACATCCTTCCATCATCTTCCCTAGGGCTCCAACCATAAGGTGGTTAGACCCCCCAAACCCACCCCAACCATCTTCTCAGGAGGTGGTTGGAGCCCTAAGGCTTCCCATCTTTTCATCTTTGACCTCTTCGCTTCGGATCTCCCATGAGGTCAGTCGGGAGAGTGCCGCCGCTCTAAAAGCGCACGACGCCGCCGCGCCTCCCAGTGCCGCTGTGAGGGTGTGCCCAGGCTGTTATCCTGGAGGAGGACCACCGATTTTGGGGGACGCCACCCAGGAGGTCCAAGGATGGCCCATTTCATGCACCGGGCGAAGGCAATCATGCAAGCACCTACAGGCTGGTGTTGGAAGTGAGTGGTGAGATTAACTTTCTCTACTAACAGTTGCCAGTTGTCCATGCTACGGAAGCATGCTTCTGCAGCCCACAAACAATGGTTTATAAGCAGGAATCTCGCAGGTTGTCACCGTTGTCACCTGATCCAATTTTCCAAACCATGATGTAGGATGGTCGATCTGTTTGAGGCCGCTTACAAACTGTTTTATGTTTTTTGGTGTCTGTTTATGTCCAGTAAGGCAACCCATTCTCTTTAACACCAGTAGGGTAGGTTTGTTGAGTTAGTTGCCCAAATAAGTTAAGAAAGGACACAAAATCATCATGTCTGCATGTCTGTAAGCTTGGACAACGTAACCACAGCACAGCAAAAAAACAACACATTCAAGTGTTGCCCTCCTGAGGGGCATTTACTTTTGACATATCATATATTATAGTGGCAACCTGCAAACGAGCTGGTAAGTGGATCTTGTTTTGCAACACTATTTCACACTCTTGAATTTCAAACAGCCCCAACATTACATACTTTACTACTATACTACCAACATCTACCAACTATTCCAAAGGACCACAACGAACAACCCTTGAATGATCCACTTCAGACCTACACCTCCGCTGCGGAGAACGGCACAGCAGCAGAGTACCCGCCTTACCCTTATGGCCTGGCCTCAGTTTAGTCATACAAATATATACAAATCTGATGAAAGATGTTGCAAAATCAGTTAAGAACATCGCATGTTACAAGCAGAGCCATGGCACGTCGCCTACTGCTTAAGACACGAACACAAGGGAGTAAGATCAGTAACCAGACATGTAAGGGATGTTTTCGCCACGTTCCAGACACGAACAAAGACATCTCATCCTCCGTTCCAGCGATGAGCGAGTCTCGATGTAACGTGCGAACAGATGGCCAAGCCATGCAACGCCCGGCGAACGACCAACGAAAAGCTCTCATCTGAAACCGTAAGTAGCAAGATCTGCGCCTGATCGGTTGCACACATCTCGGCTTTCTTCCGGGATCATCATCGATGAAGGGTGCGAAATGAACACCCCATAGGCGTCCTTTACCGAACAGTTGTATTAAGGATTTTACACTTGCAAAACCAGGTCAACCTGTCTTTTCATGGTCTTGGAAGATCTTGGGAGGCTAGACAAAGTGTGCACATGATCTATGACAGCGGCTAATAGGAGCTCATTTGGTCCAAAGACTTCTCCCGAGATCTCCTGACACTATAGTTCTTGGGATGAAAGTATACCTACCGGCCCATGTCTTTTTTTCAACCGGGAGGATGCCACATGAAGTCTTCTGTGGAGCGCCAATTCCTAAGTGCCTTCCGCATGGGCTCGCGCCGACGCACAAGAGGATGGCCCCGTGTTCGGTCCTCTGTCGGCATAGGCAAAGGGTCATACTGTTCGGGCGAATATCCTGATGGGAGACATGGTGGACCTACCTGATGACCGGAGACGGAGACAGATACGAGGACCGTTCGTCTTCCGGAAATCGGGCGGAACAGATAGGGTGCTTACTTCCGAACCGTGGATGAGATGGACCAAGCAAAAGGTTATACAAATATTGTGACTGAAGTTGTGATATATTGTGACAGCTTTTGTTGACCTGTGCAACATGAATCCACATGATACAAACAGAAGTCGTTCGGGGGCGTTCTGATGTAGAGGGTGAGTCTTCCAAAACAAAAAAGGCCTCATTGAACCGGTCCCTCGGCAAGTGGTGTTGAGGCTTTGCCCGCTGTCATTGTAAAATGCTGCAAAAGAAGAGCCTTCCGCCAACTCTCTCCATAACTCCGCAGCAAAACTCGATCTGGGTGAGTTTGGGAACATGGACGCTTCATTATTCCAAGCCCACAGGCCCACAGGGTTTCTAGATGGCTCGCCCCCTCAACCCCCAACGCAAGTGGAGGGTCTAGCTGTTTGGAGCACTAAATCTCTCCAATGTGCTGTTGTCCCACATGCATGTATTGCATGTCATGTGTCTACAAATAAAGGCTACACTCCCTCAACATGGGTCAACTTGGATGGGATGGCATCGCCCCGAAGACGATTTCGGATGACCGTGGAGTTTTCCCAAGACCAAACGGATGGTGAACTCCTTCACGAAACCCGTGGAGTCTATTGCGACCGATCTTCCATCTGGTCCCTGAAGGGAGGTGAATCTTCCATCCTTGATTCATACAGTTTGGGTATATCACCAGGGCCCAGTGGATGATGATGGTTAGGTTCCAGGCCGTTCTCCAAAATGGTGATCATTCTTTACATGGTCATGACAGGGCCCTACATACAGTCCGCATCTTTGTTGTAGCCCATCCTTCCTGGGTTTCCACCCGCAGATCTGCAGGCTCATAGGCTCATCTTCCACCAAGACGTGGGGAAACCGCCAAACCCGTCTTCTCCATGCAACACTGGGATTTTGCTGTCCAGGAAGCCGGGGAAAAGGATATGTTTCCCAGAAGGAGATTCACCAATTCACCCATAGTAGGGCCTAGATAGGGACAGCAACAAATCACCTTAAGCCAAACCCGCAAAAAAACAGGCGCCGCGAGTTTCACCATCACCAAGGGTTTCACCACCGCGCGGCTGGCGTTCACCCATGGGAAACCATCTGCGCCGCTGGTGCTGCTCAACCTCGTTGCAGGGGCCGAGCAGGGATGGAATCCAAGATGCTCCTTCAAAGGAACGTCTTTGGAGTGTCTGTGACCCTGATTGGGACCCTAAGCCCTAAACCAAAACGCGACCATTTGACTGGTGCTTGGCCGGGATCCAGCCGTACCGAGCCGTAGTACTGGTTTGGTGATGTGTTGGAGACACTGAGAGATGAGACGGTGGTCTTGGAAGGTCTGATCACCGTACCTCAGAGGGTGGCAGTGGATCCTTAAGGTAGAGAACAAAGAATTACACTATAGATACCTTAGGATCCATTTCCAAATTCCTTACGAGTCGCACCTGTCAGCCATTGAATGTAGGTTATTTTGGCACGTCAACGGGAACGTGCCAGGGTTTCCTAAGTATCACCCGTGATCACGGTGTGGGAATCATGTCCTTTCGGTGTTTGGTAGATGTTTTGTGGATATGTGCGATCTTTGAAACTCGTCAAATCACTAAGTTCTACCCGGAGTCACAAAGGGGTGCCTATTGGAGAATAAGGGTGCCCATTATCCACTCACTAGGGGCTACAAACCACCCCTTTGTGACTCCTGGTATATGATTTTTCATCGAGTTCTTTGGAGTGTTGTTAGCTGCCATCTTGACCATACTTGTAGCAGGAAATATCTGGCGCCAGTCATATACGTCACACTTGGATCTTTCAACTGTACAACGTGTCTGCCTGTTAGTCTTCTGCATTCAAAAAACCAGCCAAGGCTGGAAGACATGTTGCACGGTTGAAAGATCCAGGTATGGCTGCAAAACTTGCCATACGGCAAAGCTTGCACAAGTTTCTGAATCCCAAGAACTCAAGTCCTCAAAGCGCGAAAGCGAAAAGTGGCGACAGGTTGACGACGTCCCGTGCAAGTCTGCGGAACTCATTAGCACTTTACACCGCCTGATGGACCTGCACACAGCCTAAGAAAGGGCGGACCACTGGAGTCAATGCGTTCAAAGCAGGTACCAGCAGCTGATCAGGCTGCATGTCCTGAGGTCACCATAGAGAGCTTCGTTGGGCACAGCTCTATGGGCCTCCTGTACCTTTTTCGGTCTTCTCGTGTTAGTAGGGGAATCCACTCCTTTGCCAATCTTTTCATTCGATCCACATAATCGCGATCTTTTTTGCCCTTGACTATCTTCTTGGCTGGAGGACGAGCAACATCTAGAGCTCGCTTCTTGGCACGTTCACGTGGTATTCCCTGATTAAGCAGCTCTTTGTACGATGATTTCCGTTCATGGTGTCGCGCAAGGTCTATCAACTGTTCTCATCGCAGATGGAACCAGAAGAAACTACATCTGGAAACTGTTACAAGGGAAAAATCATTTGGCTTGCTGAGTTCAAAGGCATACAATGCCCGTGTCATTTTGGCATGGCTATGCGAGGCTTCCCAGCAATTATGTGATCAAATATTGTTGAACACATCCAACACTTAATTTGCATGCAACATTTTCCCCTACCTCTCCAATCCCAGGATGAGCTGAGCAAACGGCAGAGTGAGCTAATGAGGCCAACGCCACGTGAGAGCGCCCGTGAGCACACGAAGAGGGTGCAACTGTGGTCGGCGTGCATTGCTGTAGTGCAACTTGCTGGTTGCAAATGTTTTTGTTATTTGATGTGGTGTTTTACGTTGTTGCTTTGTTGTTAGTTGCCACCGATAGCTGGTTATCGTTGCCAGCAGACAACCCAGAAGTTTCTTTGGGGTCTTCTCGTGTTAGTAGGGGAAGCAGCTCCTTTGCCACTCTTTTCATTCGATCCACATAATCGCGACCTTTGTTGCCCTTG